TTTTAGTGTTGCTATATTTATATGTTGTGATAGCAACTATGTCAACATGACATAAATGATACCCCATCTTACATAATTGTTATTTAATGGAAGTGATTATATATATATATATATATATATATATATATATATATATATATATATATATATATATATATATATATATATATGTACCATCCCAAAAATACAGATAAATTTTTTTTAAATTCATTCATTTCACAAGAAACTGATATCAAAATAGTCAAAAGAGTATAACTGTATCATGTTATCAGAGTACAAATTCCCAAAATCACTAAGTGCGGAAAACATAGAGTGGTGCAGTGCGATCAGGTCGGGTCCTTCCCCTTCGAACTGGAGGTACCTGAAACATAAACTAAAAACTGTAAGCACAACGCTTAGTGAGTTCCCCCAAAATACCACATACTAAACAAACATACTGCCAAGCATATATGGGTGCCTGCCTACCTCTTCGGTTTATTTCAACCGGATACTGCCAACCATATATGGGTAATAGGTGCTTGCCTACCCTTTTGGTCTATTTCAACCAGATACTATCAAGCATATATGGGTGCTTGCCATCCCTTCCGGTCTATTTCAACCGGATACCAGATCTATTAATTTCACCCCTACTACTACCATATAATATCATAACAGAAATCACAGAGTCATCAAACAAATACAGGCATAACTGAAAATTATCACAAAGACAATCATCACACTACCACATAAACTAGTGGGCCAGCCTTGGTGCCTTAGACCCACGGATACCGCGAAGGAAGACTCACCTCAGATTGTAGGTATCAAATCGTGCTCAGCGGATGACTCGGGAACTCCTCTCCCTATCACACATACATCAAACCCTAATTATAAATTAGGTCACATTCTAACCCGAAAGTCTGAAACCCTAATTCTTGACTTAATGAAAAAAGGCTCTATTACCTTTGCCTTATTGGGCTTCCTTTCCTCCAAGGCCCAAATCCATAAAAGAAACCCAAAAGGCATCCAAGCCCACTATAAGGCCTCTATGGCCTAAGAACGCCTAAATAGTCCTAAGGCCCAAAAATGGCCTGCTACAACCAGGTGGGCTTGAGGCCCAACTTACTTAAGTCCAAAGCCCAACACCAACATAGCCCAAAAACCTTCTAGGCCCACTGACTGTGTACACACGGCGTACTTTGCTTGTATGCCCAACGTACGCTGGTGTTGACCATGAGTTGGGATGCTGGCCCAATATGTACATCGTACACTGGAGTACGCATGGTGTATTGGTCTGCCAACCCAAACTTACTTCCAAGTCTTAATCCATTAAGACCTAACGTCCAAAACTTAGATCCAGGCCCCTAATAACATCTTAAGCCATAAAGTTGCAAACTTTATGCTTTTGCATGCAAGAATGGGGCTCAAATCATGCATCAAGTCCATAAGCACATTTGGATGGTTTCTAACACTTGCATGGTTGTAGCTTAACCATCAAGATCTGATTTTTATGACTCAAAACACCTCCAAGAGTCCCAAAGGACAACTCATATGGCCTGAAATTGTTCATACTCCAAGAATCCAAAGTATAGGACCAAAAGATACCATTTTCTACCCTAAACCCAGATCTAAGCTTGTAATTATCAAGGTTTAGACTTTATACCTTCAATGGGTCGTAAATGGTGCCAAACTTCTGGATCTACAAGCTATTCTTACATCCTTGCTTCTTCCCAAGCTTCCTTCTCCTTCAAAGGCTCTAAAGAACACCACAAACACTCAAGAAAGCTCACAATGCACTTAAGGTGGCTTAGGGTTTGAGATTTGCAATTCAAAGGCAATGGAGGCTGAAATGGTAAGGGATTTAGGGGACTTAAGGTCCTTAAATAAGGTGCAAACCCTAAAAATTAGGGTTTGCCCATAGCTTGGTTACGCTCAGCGTACGCATGGATACGCCCAACGTACACTGAGGATCCCCCCATGATGTGCATGCAGCGAGTACGCCATGCGTACATAATGTACGCCCAACGTACTCACCATCCTTCCACCACCTTAACTTAGATTGAAAATAGACTAAGTCAGAAACTTCATACATGGCAACTCGGGTGCTACAATATATATGGGAATATGATTTCCTTTAGATGTCACATACGTGTGACTGAAGAACAGGGAAATACTCTTTCATTTCTCTACAAAAATTCCTTAAGAACACCTATTAATCTTTTTGTAATCCTCCATCGATTAAGACATCATAACGGGATCAAATGGCTTCTTCTTCGACAAAGATGGTTATTCATCAATTCAATATTTCAGCCTATTATGATGAATCAGTGTTTCGATTGATTCAGAAAAGAATTATTGGACAATTGATTAAGATTTAACCAATAAGTCGTTCAAAAAAATTCAGTGTTAATTTTTTAACTTTAAAGGTCGTAATTATATATCTATGTTTAAATAGGAGTCATTGGAGCTTGTTAACAAAAGTCTTCCTAGAGACAAAAAAAAAAGTGTAGATTTAAGAGTATGATAGTTGGTGTGTATGTTAGTCGTTCTGAAAAACAAAATTAGGTATGGAGTGATATAGGAGAAGACAAGATAGGTATACCATTACATGGTTTCTTATTACGTAACTGAGTCAATGTTACCTATTATATCTGGTTGCAAAGCAAAGCTTGATGTAGGAAAAGAGGCCCTTGATTTTGAAGCAAAGCTTGATAGAAAATGAGGTACACAGAAACAAAAGAAAATTTAGGCCCAATTTTGCAAAAATAAGTTAGTTCATTGTTGGTTAGCTTTTGGTAAACCATAAAAATAGGTTATGGTAGTTATAAAATAGTTTATACACTAACTTATTGATAAGTTAGTTTGAGATAGTTTATTAATAAGCTAACTTATAAGTTAAAAGATAGCTTATTTAACAAATTAAACTTCGTTAGTTCTTTTCTAATAACAGATTAAAGGGAAAATATTATCATATTTATCAAAAACGATATCTTTACTTTATATTTATAAAAGAATAATAAAAAAAATCAACTACACTGTCTTTTTATTTATTAAAAAAAAAAAAAAAAAAAAAAAAAATTGAATACCATCAACATTGATGGTGCACTCCAAAATATATATAAGATTGTAAATATGCAACCAAGTTGTTTGTATAACGATGCAACTATGTTTTACCCCAAATTAAAAACAATTACATTAACTATGTTCTGCAAAATGTCTTAAGAGCGCAATTAGTCTATTATGCTAAAATATGCCAATTATATTGCCTTCTTTTTTACATATAACATGCAAAAAAAAGAAAAAATAAAAGAAAAAAATAAAAGAAAAGAAAAGATATCGTAACATAATAATAAATAAAAAAAAGGTAGGAACAACATGCACACTCAAAATCAATTATTTAGTTACACCGAAGTATTCTTCCGGTATATCATGACTTTGAATGACATTTACTTAGTAAGCAGGCGAGTCTCTATTTCTTTGGTAGCCTTTCTGTAGAAGTCCATAAGTGTATCCGGGTCTGGAACATCAGGGCTTAGCTTCTCATACTCGGCTGTCCATGTTACAACGTTGTCTAAGCCATCAGCCTCTACACGAATATTCACAACCAATGTCTCATATAGGTTCGCCAGATCCCCATCAAGTAGCTTATAGGTGACAGACTTCTTTTCTGTGTCAATGTCAACGATCTGCGTCTTCCCAAAACAGTCTTTTCCATCTACAATAACATATATATCATCCACAACAGTCGTTTCAAGTAGAGATTGGTATATATCCAATATTTTGCTTCATGTTTCTTGTTAACAGCTCATAATAAAGGTAGAGATATATTAGAAAATATATGTTTTCTTTACCAAGGAAATAGTTCCATAAGAGAACACAGCCAACGATTCCAACTTCACCTCCCAAGGTTTGACAGTTTTGGAAGGTGGTCGGGGTCAAGCTGGGAATTTGGAGTTGGAGTGACTTCCACAACTCATGAAAAACATCACCATCAGACTTGATCTTCACCTTAGCAACCCTTTTACCACTTAGTGGATTTCCTTCTTGTTCCACTGTTCTCGGGTAGTACATGTGTGTGTGTGTGTAAAACTTGAACAACACAAAGATGAGAATTACTTGCTCCTACATTTACCAATTTATAGACGTCCTCCCCTTCCCCACCACCAGTAATTTAATCACCGTCTATATTGTGTTTACAGAATATTATATACTCGAGTGATTTAAAAACTCCAGTTTAATCATGTGATTCATGTCTATCTGAACATGAACATGTTAACAGTCACATTTTTGTAAAGAAAATTACAAAGTTTAATTATGTAATTAACGACTAATTGAACATTCACATGTTAATCGTCATATTCTTACATTATTAAGAAAATCACATAGAACACTATGTTTTTAATCATCATATTCTTATATTATTAAGGAAATCACAAAAAAAAATTATGTTGGTATAGCTTTCGCGTCTTTAGTTTCTAATAAACACTTCAAATATGTACGTAAATGAATGAATTTATATCGTCTATTAGTCCAAACGTGTAAGTTAGGAGTCAGGACCCTTGTTTTTCTACCTAGAGGAACAGCAAACAAGAAACGGAGGAAAATGGAGGGTATTTAGGGGTAAAATTTTCTGTTGTGTTCTTTATTATTGAACTCAACTCATTCGTAATCATCCAAAGAAAACACCAATTGGCCCTTGCCAAGTCAGCGTTGATGCTATTGCAATTTTTTAGTTAGGCTTTAGTTGTAAGAATTTCCTATTTCTTTTCTCTTCCTGGTTGTCCATATTGTTGTTTTGGGGCATGTCCCTTAGCATTGGTTTTTCGATTAGGTGATGTTTGGAAATGAATGGAATTCAGGGGAAAATGATTCCAATTCCCTGGATATCATGTGTTTGGTTCAACTTTAGAGGGAGAAAAGAATTCTTAAATGAAAAAAATTTCATTGATCAAGACGTTGAAGGAATTAATTCTTTGGTAGGATAGAAAGTGGAAGATTACCATTTTGCATTTACTAAACACTTCATGAGTTTAAACCCTACACATATACTTATTCGCCACCACCATTCACTACCACCGCTACCCTGCACCACAACCACCGTTGCCGCCACAACCACCACCGCCGCTGCCAATATCACCACTGCCACCATCACCCGCCACCACCAATACCACCGTCGCCACCACCCACCACCATCGTCATCGTCGCCGCCACCACCACCACCACCTCCACTACCATCACCCACCACCCTTTCTGCCGCTGTCACCACCACCACCAACGCCGCCACTACCACCACCGCCATCGTTGTCGCCACCACCACTACCATCACCCACCACCGCTGCCACCGTTGTCGCCACCACACCACCACCACTACCATCACCCGCTAGCACCGAAACCGTCGTCGCCACCACCAGCCGCCACCGCCACACCACCACTGTTAGATGCCATTTTATGCATCTTTTAGGGTAGTTTTCATTATCATTTAGGATCATATTTTGTACATTTGCATGTCATTTATTTAAATAATGTTCAGCTCATGTGTATCATTAGAATTCTCGTACTGCTCATGTTTTGATGTCAGTTTCAGATAGTTCGAGTGGAGCAGTGCTTTGGGAGCAGTTGGATGCGCGTTTGGAGCTTAAAATGGAGCTTGGAACTTATGAAGGATTCTGAGGAATGTTTGAAAGATGTTTTGGTCAAGAAACATTCGATCGAATTGATCACACGAAGATAGAATCTGTAATCTGAAGCTAAAGGATGTTGCTGGCAGCTTTGATCCCCTGTCAGTATTTTGACCATATCTCATGAACCGTAACTCCGATTGACGATATTCAAAATGTTATGAAAAGTAGATGAAATTTCGGACGTCTTAAGCAAAACATGCGATCGCAAATCTTGTCCATGCGATCGCGTGGAGCCTTTATGCGATCGCAACTTTGCTCACAACTTATCTTCGAGGTTTTTTAGTGCGAAAAATTCATCTGGGAGTAAAAACTCAAAACATGCGATCGCAACCTATGTACACGCGATCTCAAATTCCCTCTATGCGATCGCAACTTTGCCAAAAAAAAAGCCCACAAAAGCATCCTACTTCATTAAAAAGGCTCGTGACGCGTTTGCTTGAAAACCTGTGATCCCAACCTCAATACATGTGATCGCATGTTTGCATATTCTTGTTCCGGAAGCTTCCACCTTTAGTATAAATACAACCCTCATAATCAGTTGTAAGGGTTGGACGATTCCAGAGGAAGAAAACCACTTCGAAAGGCGATTTTCGAATTCTTTCAGCGGCTTTTGGAGATCTGAAGACTGCGAATCATCTCACACGTTTAGTTTAACAAGATTTATCAGTAAATGTTTCATTTATCTAGTTTGATTTCATTTTTGGCCATGTCTAGCTAAACTTTAGTTTTCAGTTCTGCATAGACTAGTACTTCTCATGTGATTAGCCTTCAGATTTGATTGTCGTCTTATGTTTCTATCTAGATTTTTCAGTTTTGTCCTTAATGAATGTTTGGTTTTAAATTCTTGTTAGTCTGATCACCTAGTTAGGGTTTTATCATTCCAGTTAATCAGTTAATAGAATCTGTAATTGTTCTTGTCAACTGGTAAAATTAACAAGTATCAGATTGGTTCTGTTTTGGCATTTAACTCTGGTATAAACTGTAAAAATCATATCTTTACACTTCTGAGCTTGTGAGAAGTATTGGGTATTGCTGGGAATTTTACAAAGAACTTAATCCAATTTTACTGCTTCAATTAAGAGCTTGTTTAATTGAACAGTAAAAAGTTAGGGTTAATTCAAAGAGCTTGTTTTGATTAACTAGTTTAGGTAAAAGAGATTATTCTAGAGCTTGTTAGTTTTTCTCAGTACCAGCTTAGATAGAATGCATCTGTAACAACGTAAATTTTCAAAACAATTTTTCATTTTTAAATCATACTTTCATTCACATGATAATCACAAAACATAATGTGTCACTGTGTCATAACAAAAACATGTCCCAGAATCTCAATAACATAAACTCCATAAGTGTGTACGGATCATGCCGACGCCTTCCCACGGTCCTCGCTAGTACCTGAAACACATATCATAACAACTGTAAGCATAAATGCTTAGTGAGTTACCCAAAATACCACATGCCACACATACGCCTTTCCAGGCCACAACTCTGTAGGATCTTCCGATCCATGTGTCTCAGGGGACTCCCGTCCCAACTCCCGGTAGACCTTCCGGTCCTACCCGTATCGACCTTCCGGTCCGTAACCTCTTGACCTTCCGATCCATATCATACATAAACATACATAGCACATACATATCACATAACTGCATATAGCACATACATCATAGCATACAAGACCTTCCGGTCACACATAAGTACCCTTCCAGGTACAGTATAGTGAGAAGACTCACCTCGTATGATGTCTAGTAACTCACGTGCTCGATATCCCTGAATCTCGAAACAACGACCTAGCCCCGCCTAATCACATAAAGTAATTATTTCAAATCATTAACGGCTCTCAAGGCTAGACTAATCCCTTCCTATGTCCTCTCAGAAGGTTAAAAGACCATTTTACCCGTCAATAGTCCCAAAAGTCCAATTGTTGACCAAACCCTAAAAGTCAACAAAAGTCAACTCTCCGGGTTACGCTGCGCGTACCAAGCCTGTACGCTGAGCGTACCCGGCGACCTCACAGAAACGGGGAACGCGACCCCCTACGCCGCGCGTACTGGGATTACGCCCAACGTAACTCCCAGTTTCAGACTCCTTAGCTCTTGAGGTCTTAAACAGTTAAGACCCACGTCCAACTTTTAGATCTGACCATTCTAAGCCTCTTAATCCATAAAGTTGGTGACTTTAAGCCTTTGCATGGCTGGACAAGTCACTAACACCCATAACATTCCATTACCCAACTCTAGAAAGCTCATAATATAAGCATGACCTCATATCAACGACCAAGATGGAAACTTTATGGATCTATAACACAAATATCACTGAAATGGGACAGATCTAGGTCCATGGAGTCCTTTATGCTCATAAAGTCTCCACCTTTGGGACTTTAACCCTAGAAATGGTCCATAAAGCACAAATCAAAAATAACAAGGAAAGCTTTGAGCTTTATACCTCCAAGTGAAGCTCCTCCCTCTGTAGAACTCAGATCCAAGCTTGTACTCCAACTTCTAGCCTCCACAAGAACCTCTTCTTCTTCTTTACTAACACACAAAGGCACTTTCTTGCTCAAGACCACACACACACTAGCTTTAGAACGATAAAGTTGCTCTTCTAGGGTTTCTCTCTGAGGGATGGTGGCCGGGGACAAGACCATCTCATTCCTTTTATAGCCCTCAAGCCACAATTAGGGTTTTGCACCTGGGCCAACTACGCCCAGCGTAACCCTGGGTACGCCCAGCGTACCTAGGCGAGTCCGCGTCCAAAATAAGCGTATGAGTATGCGCAGCGTACTCTTGAGTACGCCCAGCGTACTCATTTGCTATAATTTCCACTCAAGGGCTAATCTTGACAACTTGACAAAAGAGAAGGGTTAAATAGTTGTACCTGAATTTCGGGATGTTACAATTCTCCCCCACTAGAAACAGACTTCGCCCTCGAAGTCTCATGCTGAAAACAACTCCGGATGCTGCTCCCGCATCTCTGACTCTGTCTCCCAGGTCAGCTCAGACCCCCTCCGATGTTGTCACTGAACCTGAACCAGGGGCACCTCCTTGTTCCTCAGAACCTTGATCTTTCGATCCACAATCGTGATTGGCCTCTCAGCATAATTCAGGCTCGCATCCACCTGAATGTCCTCCAGCGGCACCACTGCCGACTCGTCGGCTATACACTTCCTCAACTGAGACATATGGAAGGTATCATGAATCTGGCTCAACTCCGCAGGTAGCTCCAACCGATATGCTACCTTGCCCACCCTCGCGGTCACCATGAACGGACCGATGTACCGGGGCCCCAGCTTGCCCCTCTTCCTGAATCGGATCACTCCTTTCCAAGGGGACACTTTCAGGAGTACGAAGTCCCCCACCTGGAACTCCAGCTCGGATCGTCGCCGATCCGCATAACTCTTCTGACGACTCTGAGCCGTCAGTAACCTCTGTCTAACCTGCTGTATCTGCTCTGTCGTCTGAAGCACTATTTCAGTGCTACCCATCATGCGCTGCCCTACCTCTCCCCAGCAAATGGGAGTCCGACGCCTCCTCCTATACAACAATTCGAAGGGAGGCATGCCAATACTAGAATGGTGGCTGCAACTTGCCATGCGGACGCTGGTGCTGGGCCTTAACCCTGCGACAGGTCAAGCACCTCTCAACAAACCACGCGACATCCCTCTTCATACAGGGCCACCAATAATCTTTCTTCAGGTCCAAATACATCTTCGTGGCCCCGGGATGGATCAAGAACCTCGATCTATGCGCCTCCTCCATCAGAATGGTACGTGCCCCGCCTGCATACGGCACCCAAATTCGGCCCTGAAAGGTCATCAGCCCTCGATTACCCGTCACGAACTCGGACACCTGCCCGATCACCCGCTCCCTCTTACAGTTCTCTGGTATCACGACCTCTGCCTGGGCCTCCCGAATGGTGTCCAACACCGGGGTCATCACTGTCAACCTCATACAAGTGCCTCGAATCGGGGCACTCTCCGCCCTACGGCTCAGCGCATCGGCTACCACATTAGCTTTGCCCGGGTGGTACAGGATCTCACAATCATAATCCTTTACCACATCCAACCATCTTCTCTGACGCATGTTCAGATTGGGCTGATCCATCAGATACTTCAAACTCTTATGGTCCGTATAAATGGTACACCGAACCCCATACAAATAGTGACGCCAAATCTTGAGGGCGAACACCACTGCCCCCAACTCCAGATCGTGGGTGGGATACCTCGTCTCATGAGGCTTCAGCTGCCTCGATGCATACGCTATTACATGCCCTCTCTGCATAAGCACCGCACCCAACCCCGATCGATGCGTCACAATACACCACAAAATCCTCAATCCCTTCTGGGAGGGCTAACACAGGGGCTTCGCATAATCTCTGGCGAAGTGTCTCAAACGAGGTCTGCTGCTCCGGACCCCATGAAAAAGCAACACCCTTCCGGGTCAACCTGGTGAGAGGCACGACAATCTTGGAGAAATCCCTGATAAATCTCCAATAGTAGCCGGCCAGTCCTAGAAAACTCCTGATCTCGGTGGGAGATCTCGGCACCTCCCAACTCATAACCGCCTCAATCTTGGCCGGATCGACCAAAATCCCCTCCTGGTTGACGAGATGTCCCAAGAACTGGACCTCCCGTAACCAGAACTCGCACTTGGAGAATTTGGCATAAAGCCTCTCCGTCCTCAATACCCCGAGAATCTCTCTCAGATGCT